ATTCTATTTTGTTTTGGGTCGTGATTCTTAGTCTTGATGTTGTTTCTGTATTCTGAGGGTGTGAGAGAGTCTATTTTATGTTTACGAACTTGTTGGTATGTTTGGTTGAGGCCTCGGGGCCCCCGTGCAGGATTTGAAGGGTCGACGGAGCTTGATTGCTCTTTAGAGAAGAGCTGATGGTGGCTGCCATCTGGTGCGTTCTCACTTGCGGTGGGAATATCTGCAAGAACGGCACCACAGGTGCAGCGATTCACTCATAGAAGAGGAAAGATGAGGGGGTCAGCGTGTTCGCAGAAGCGGACTCACTTCTGCGATGGGGAGATCGCACGTGCGGATGAGGCCAGTGTGGGCAAGGTCCGTAGCTCATTTAGGCTTGTAATGGCGAAAGTTGAATTTTTGGAGTTTTGGGATCGGTAGTGGAACTTTAATATCGGGGTCAGAATCCGATTCCGAAAGTCTGAGTAGGTTCGTAGTGTTGAATATTTCTTGTGTGCAAAATTTGGGGTCAATCAGACGTGATTTAGTTAGTTTTGGTATCAGTTGTCGAATTTGGAAGTTTCAAGTTCTTTAAGTTTGAATCGGAGGATGATTTGTGTTTTAGCATTGTTTGGTGTGATTTGAGGGCTCAATTAAGTTCGTATGGTGTTTTAAGTCCCGGGGCCTCGGGTGAGTTTCAGGTCGTTAACGGATAATTTCTGGACTTGTTAAAATTGCAAAACTGCTAGTATCTAGTTTCCTTAATTGTGTTTGCACCCTTTCCTCTGTGTTCGCGTAGTGTAATTTTGGAGGATGATTTAATTGTTCTTCGTGTTCGCATGTTTCCGCTCACGATCGCGGAAGTCTGCCCCCTCCTCCTTCGCGTTCACATCCCTCTATTGGGTAATGATTCTTAACTTGATTTTTTTATAGCCCAGTTCATGAGCCATCAGATTTTCCTCTTCGAGATCGCACCTCATTTTACGCGATCGCGATGTACAAATACCTGGGCAGTATTAAAAATTTCAAAAACGAGAGTTTGGTCATTTTTATCAAAACTTGAGTTTGGGAGCTCGGATTTGGACGAGATTTTGAGGGATTTTCAGAGATATCTATTGGGTAATGATTCTTAACTTGATTTTTTTTATATTCCACTAAATTGTGATTAATTTTAATATTTAATTTTAGATTTGGGGTGATTCTTCAACTAAGATTTCGAGTTTTGATTGGAATTTTGACATCGGATTTGGATAATTTTGGTACGCTGAGTGAATGGGTGTTCATAATTTGTGACTTTTACCTGATTCCAACGTGGGCCCCGTGAGGCTTTTTGGGCCTTTTTTTTTATTTCTTGCCTTAGCTTAGATTTTGTTAGCTAGATTAGTTTCTTGTAGCTATATTTATGTTATGTAATTGGTTTTGGCTAGATTTGAGCCATTCAGGGTTGGATATTCGTGGAAAGAGCTAGCATTGTGACAGATTGATTTGAGCTTGGTTCGAGGCAAGTGACTTGCCTAACCTTATGTGGGGAAAACCCCCTTAGGATTTGTTATTGTTTTGATATGTGAGCGCGGTGTACGTGAGGTGACAAGTACACACACATGCTATTTGTTATAAAATCCCGGTTTTTCACTAAGTCATAACATGTTTCTCCTTATTTTAACTACACTAGCATATGTAACTATCATCTTTTAGTTAGAATAGCATGCCTACGTATTTTAACTGCCTATTTGAACTCTGTGCAGCATGTTTAGTGAAATTATCTGCTTTCTTTGCCTTGAACTTAGTCTAAATTGTAGGTTTTCTTAGTCTAACTATTATTTCGATTGATTGAGCTGCATATTTACTTTGGAACTACGGAACGGTATTTCAGGAGATCCCCATGTATTTCATATTTACTTTGGGACTACGGAACTGTATTCGGGGAGATCCCCCTTACACATTTACATTTGGGACTACATGATGGTATCCTGGGAGATCCCCTGCTGTTATCATTGTGTTCTGAGCTGTTGTCTTTCATTGATTCTATTCATGTTAAATTTTCGTATTTATTTTACTGTGATATTTCATTCTGCCTTATTTCATTATATTTACACCAGTAGGGCCCTGACCTGATCTTGTCCATACACGATCGAGATTAGGCTTAGCACTTACTGGGTACCGTTGTGGTGTACTCATGCCCTTTCCTGCACATATTTTTCGTGTGCAGATCTAGGTTCATCGTACCAGCCTCATCACTAGTTGCAGTCGCTGCTGCTTATTGGAGACTTCAAGGTACATCTGCCCGCACCCGCAAATCCTCGGAGTCCCCCTCTATCTCCCCCTATGTTCATTTTTCCTTTCTTTTGTAGAAATGATGAATAGAACAGTTAATACTTCTTAGTAGCTTATGATTTGCGGGTTTCTGGGTTTTTGAGAGTTTGTTTCGTACATTTCAGAAGTGATAATTGTATATGCTGAGCGGCATTCAGTTGCTTATTAGATATTTGTCACTGTTAGTAGTTAATGTTCATGCTTTTGCTTCATTTCTGCAAAGTGTTAGGCTTATCTAGTCGTACAGACTAGGTGCCGTCACGACAGTTTACGGAAGGAAAAATTGGGTCGTGACAAAGTTTTTATGTCCTAATAACTTTAACACTTGCATTGTTTATATTTATAAAAAAAATGCTAGATATTTTATTTCTTATTAGTTATTTTAATCTTTTTCAATGTTTTTAAAATTTTAATGCTCTCTCTCTATGATATAATCTATGTAAGGTTTATATAATCCTATTACAGTCAAACAAACATCACATAAAACACTATAAATTGTGCCTTCTTCATTCTTTCTCATACAATCAACTAGTTCCTATTCAAAATACATTCTCATCCTTCTCCACAAAATAAGATCATCTTCTATATCTTTTTGAGTTTCTTAACACTTCTTCCTTCACTTCTTTTCCTATTTATCTATTGGCATTATGTTCCTGGTCCTCCTGCGATTGGAATTTACGATTTCACACCAAGTTTCACTTTACCATATCCGTGAAATAGAACACGATGCCTTTCTTGCCATATGAATTTCACGATTTGTTTACCTCAGGAATAAAAATCGTGAAAATCATAGAGCAAGAAAGGCTTCATGTTCTATGTCACCGTCTAACCACCAACCATGAGTAGCCTTATGAGATGAAATTTTCATTTATTTACTTTGAATTTTTAATAATTAATTATTTATTATTATCTGATTTTTCGAGTCGCAATTAATACATATTCTCTTAGTAAAGAGAATGACCTTTCAAAACTACATATCCTCTAAGGTGATAGTTGCTTCATCACGAGGAAAGACAAAATGCATATAGTTTTGGCACCATTTTTTCTCAAAAGAAAATAATTAATCTAGGTTTTTACCGAATATGATCAGTGAAATTTAGGGGAAAGTTGTGAATATTTCTACACCACAATAGAGTGAGACTAGCAAGTTAGGAGTTAGATTAAGAATGTCATTGGTCGTCTATTGATGCAGGGCTTTACCTGCTAGTTTTATTATACCAGCCATCTATTTCGTATTTCGTATTCTGTATTTTATATCTCTTATATTGCTGTTATTTTATTATGCATTTTTATGGTACTAATATATCGGCTCCTGTTGCTTTTTTGAGTCGAGGGCCTCTTGGAAACAGCCTCTCTACCCTTCGGGGTAGGGGTAAGGTCTGCGTACATATTACCCTCCCCAGACCCCACTTGTGGGATTATACTGGGTCGTTGTTGTTGTTGATCAGTGAAATTTAATACTAAATTATAAATTTCTTAATTAGGTTTGACAGGATAAGCTCTGCTGATTTGGAAGTCAATTTTGATTTCAGATTAACAAATTTGATCTCGGCCATCAAATCTTTTTTTTCTTTTAAAATTTTATTTAGGTCTCTGTAATTCCCTTTCCATTCTACACTATTTCTACGTACTGAGAAGAGAATCATCATCATATCTAAATGGTTTTAGTAAAAGATTAAAATACTTTCTTGATCAATAATTTGAATTTTGAAAGACCATACGATATCTAGTTCTTTAAATCGGAGTAGTCAGGACTTGTCTGAAAGATAAATCTCTAAGCCATACACGCCCTTGCTTTTACAAGTTTATAATTCAAATTTAATAATAAGAAAATGTATAATTTCACAAACACAAACATCTTCTGAGAATTTAGCTCGTAATTAACGGCGAAGACGGAATTTCTGCTAAGGAGGCTCAAAAAAAGTAGAAGTTAAAAATTTAAAAGAAATTGTGGCTAGTGAGAATTTAACTAGCGACCTTACAAATTGAAGAGTTTAAAGTTGAATTATTTTCAATTATAGAAATGTGTCCTTTTTTTTTGGAACGGAGTAATAATGAAAGTGTGTCATCTAAATTGAAACAGAGACAGTAATAATTATAGTATGTATTTTACCATATAACTCCTAATAATGATAGCATTTCAAAAAGCAAAAATAATTTTGAAAATGAATAATTAATGATAAGGGGTAAAACAAGAAGAAAAAAAATCTCATTTATCTTGGTTTGCTAAACTGGACATGTATAAGTAAAAATATATTTTTAGTATAATGAACAAGTAAAAGTGAGGAGGGAGTAATTAATTAGGATAAAATTGAACAATTTTGAATATCATGGTGACAAATTTGTAGCATTTCCTTTCAAGAATACCATATGCAGTTCCATCTTCTTCAACAAATTTATAAGTATATCCATAAACCATGCAAAGTGGCGGGAATAGACGTTGGAAGTTGGAATTATACGAAAATTTTTATTTTGTATCTCATACAACTGACATTAGTTGTATGAGACAACGTTTTTATCTTACAGTTTTGTGAACCCAGATTTCTGTGAATTCAAAAGTGTAAGATTGGGGTCCACAAATTTGTGAGACAAAAAGGAGTCTCATATAATGGGTGTAAGTTGTATGAGACACAAAATAAAACTTCTCGGATTATACGATAATGTTGTTATGGATTGGACATGTCTATCAACGAGGTCCCCATTTCTCTGGAGCAACGACCAATTGGAGCCCCATTATTGGCCCATTCTACCTTGCCGAGAATCCCTCTCAACACAATAACAGCAACACCCCCTCTACCTCGACCAATCCGATCCTTCCACGTGTCAGCAACCCTCCCCCCTACATTCTCAGCTGCCCTTTTGCGACGTATCAGAAAATTGAGCGTTGAAATTGAGAGAAATTAAAAACAGGAGAAGGGTCACCATTGTTGATAAGGAGGAGGAGGAGATTTAACACTCCTCCTCATCAACCTGAATCACAACCTATTTAATTCCTCAATTATTATACGTGAATTATTTAGGATTTAGCTCAATTATTATACGTGAATGTTATATATTATTTGTCGCATTTGAAAAATCTATATATAGATCGAGAAGAGGGTCATCCTGTTGTCTTCCTCTGTTGCTCGAGCGAGACCGAGGTCGAAAAGGCATCGGATTTGACTTTGATATGGCTGAACAGGGACTTGACTCATTTCAAAGGGTACGGCAATCAAAAGGAAACCAGGAACTGAATGATGAGTTGAAAATCAAAGCAAATGAACTCGAGAAGCTATTCGCCGAGCATAAACTACGTACTCCTCCTGGAAATCAATCTAATTTTATCAGCAGAATTGGTAGGCATAGTTACATGCAAAGTTGGCCATCAGCTACTTCATCCTACAGTAATCCTGTATTAGATAATGCTTTTGTCGATCAAGTGTTTGATAATTGTTCGTTTAGGGAACCTGATAGGAACTCTTCTGATGAGGTAAATAGTTCTACTGGCGGTTCTCCAGGGAAATTCTATGATATGTATATGCAGAAAAGGGATGCAAAACTTAAGGAAGAATGGAATTCTAAAGGAGCAGAGAAAGAAGCCAAGTTGAAAGCTATGGAGGATAGCCTTGAGAGGAGTAAAGCTGAAATGAAGACTATGGAGAGGCTCAGATCATTTAACTCCACCTCTATTTTTAGCAGAAACCAGGTATAATTCTAGTTCCCTTCTACCAATAGTTTACAGCAATTTCACACACACACACACACACAATGTGTAGACATTTCTGTTTCTTATTCCTATAGTCACCAATCTTGAAAAAAGTTCCCTTTGACAGCAACAATCAGAATTTGGGCAAAGTGATGATAGAGAACATAAGCCTGGAGAAGAAGTTTCTAAACAAAATGCTCAGAGGAAGAAACAACATTTACCTATCAAAACTTCATCTACACCTCGCACCATAGTAGCATCTATTCCAAGGTCTCCAGTGAAGGCTTCTAGTAGTCCTTCTAGTCGCCGAAAATTTCAACCTGAAAGTCCAATTGCACGTTCTGTTCCAAACTTGTCTTACCTGAGAAAGGAAAACTCAGAGCCTTCTTCTCTGGCTGGTAAAATGACTACTCGTTCACAATCCAGGAACTATTCCCGTAGCAAATTACTGCACTCACAGTCCTTGAGAAAAAGCTCTGCTTTGAATTCTGAGGGTGTTAGCTTGGCACCTCTCAAATTTGATAAGGACAAGATGGAACATAGTCGTCCTAAGGGTGTAATTTCAGCACCTCCAAAATCTGGCAATGAAAAGAAGGAGCAGAGTCTTACAGATAAAATTCCCAGCATTTCAGATTCAAAGGCTTCCCCAAAGAAGGAAAAAGATGCTGACTTCAGTTTAAGAGGTGGTTTGATTGAGACAAGGGGTTCTAATATTGTATCTAATTTTGCGCACAATGATGATGATGAGGCTGAGGCTGAGGCTGAGGCTGATGATGATTATATGGAATTGGATTCCGAGAACTCAGTGAATATAGATGAGGACGACTTTGAGAACATGATATCTGCAGTTGAGGAAATTTTTGATAATAAGACACAAAGACTGAGCCATGAGACAGAGAAGCTGGTAAATTCTGTTTCAGGATTTGGTGATATCCTGAGATCACCTTCTTCTGTGCCTTCTAGCTTCCTCTCCGGTAGATTTGCATACGAGTCACCAAGAGAAAGTAGTCCTATCTCACAGACTGATCATCACCCTTTTTCTTATCCTCATGACATGTCTGATGTTGATGCTTCAGGCTCTCCCGTGGGAAACCCTGCATCCTATAATTCACATTTTATGAGTCCAACGGAGCATGACTCAGCTGCTAGAATGAGGAAGAAATGGGGAATGGCAGCTCAGAAACCAATCCATGTTTCTTCTCAAAGTCAATTGCGCAAGGATAAGGCTAGAGGATTTAAACGGTTATTAAAATTTGGAAAGAAAAACCATGGAGCAGATAGTTTGGTTAAAGATTGGATTTCAGCAACTACTTATAAGGGAGATGATGGCACGAGAAATGGACTTGATCCTCCAAATCGATCTGATGTTTGCCTATATGAGGATGAGTTTTTCAACGAACAAGGTGAGATATGATGTTTCATTTTACTAAAGAAAACCATGTTGTTTCTTTTTTATTGATATTCATTCAATGGCTATCCCTAAATCCATTAAACTTTTCTAGTTGTTAATTGTTTCATGTTTCTTCCTTAAGATTTGAATAAGAATATTCCAGAAGCACCATGCTGATGAATTGATTTTTCTGATCTAGTTCATGAAGTATCTCTATTTTACCACATGTTATAAGCTGAGAGTGCCAAAATTGCAGGTTTACTTATTGAAGAAATTAGACTTTTCTGAATAATAAAACACAACTGTTTCACAGAGGTGTAAGATGAAGAGTATACTAATTCAACATTAAGTTAAATATATTGTCATATATTGGTATACATGTGGTTCCTTCAGAAAAATTATGTAACAGACGCTGCAGCTTTAGCTTGTGGTTCTCAATTCTATTTATACTGTCGTTGATGATTCTTCTTCCTATTTGTTTTCTACATTAGCATCTGAAAGGAGTAAGAATTTAGCGCATGACAGTACGAATACAGATCTTTCTGGTGTTTCCAGTTTCTTTAGGGAAAATCCAGGGAGGATATCAGATTTTTATTGCATAGGAGAACTTGGGAAGCAAAGGAGACCCTTAGATCTTCCAAGTTTATCTGTTCGATGAACAGTTTTGCTGAATTGGCTTTGTTTCTTTTGCTCCGGTTTCTTCTAATTCTCTCTAATACACAAGAAACATATGTAGAAGCTTCAGATAGGCGAGTTTAAAGTTTAGTTTGTACGATTATATAGATGTCATGTGAATTTTTGGGAAGGTTTAGTTAAATATTTCATTTTTCTTATGAATACATCCTTTTCATGTGATCTTATGTTTCAGTATTCCTTCTCAATTATAGGTCTGAAGCTGTTGATTTCGAGCTACTGATTTAATAATCTTTCTCTCTAGCAGTTCAAACCTTGCACACTTCTATTCCGGCAGCTCCAGCTAACTTCAAATTGAGGGAAGATCATTTATCAGGAAGCTCAATAAAGGGTGAACATTTAGTATATTGTTGGTCTTTCTCAACTTATTCCTGTGTTTGCTGTTTTGTCCAATAAATGCCACCATGGGAAAGTATGTGCCCCTGGGGTGCTATAATTAAAGTAAGAAGGAAAAAATGAAAGAGTAAGGGCCTCTATTGGGAGTTGTCACTTTGCTTCATAACCTTAAAAAAACAGCTCACAGTTTTTTTGCAACTATCTTCCTGACTTACATTCTTCCCGAGTCAAAGAGCACTTCCCTATTAGCACAAGAACTACAGTTGCTTCATCTGCGTCTGATGTATCTTTCTTATTAATCAACGCCTTAAAGGTGTATTACATTCGTCAGCAACGAACAGTATATCATCAAAATTTTAAGGAATCTTGAACTTGTCAATATTTTGTACTGCAGAAAATTCCTATCGAAGCTTGTAAAAGTTTTTGTGCTTCGGTCAAGTATTTACATGTTAACTTCTATCTATTCTTACCATTTCACAGCACCAAGACCGTTCTTTTCCTTGTCGTCATTCAGAAGCAAGGGAAAGGACTCAAAGCCGAGATAAGTCTCTCAAATGTATAAAAGTTCCAGTGATAAAACACATGGAATTGCCTCGATGGTGTGCAGCTTCAAACCATATCTTATTCAGCCAGAGCTTGAGGTATGCGCGTGCTACAATCATATTTATACAATTCATTTTTGTACATAGTATATCATTGGACTTTTGTTAGCCTTGCTACAATCATATTTACAATGTTGTATATTGCCTTGAGAGGACAGTTCCCTGTGGCTGAATGTTAATGTTATTTTGGTGGTCAGAGCATTCTTCGACTTTTATACTTATCTGTAGTCATACAAGCTTGATTCTTCTAAATAGCAAAAGTTGGGTTTATGTTTAGAATTGAATATTAGCAGTTTGGAAGGAGAAGCTTGATTCATGAGTAATTGTAGATCTTATATTTCATATAAATGAAAAGAATGGTGTGGCTAAAGAGTACATTGAATGAAAAAGGACTTACCTGAACTCCACATTTAGCATATAGGAGATATTATAACTCAGATTTGAGTGCTGGAATTGGTGGGAGAATTAAGCTGGAGAGCAAGAGCACATGCAAAATTCTTGAAAGATCAAAGTTACCAAGTAATTTAGCATGTGCCCTGCTTCTCCAGCTTAAATAACCCTCCACCTACACATATTTTCTCAACCATTTGCAGATTCTTCCACCTCTGCTTAAGGCGTTTCGCGAAAAGGATAATTGTTGTACTATGTTGATGGTTAGACTCAAATAGTCATGTAACTAATCCAACTAATTTGGGACTGAGGCGTATTCGCTTGTACAAAGCTTTAGAGAAGAATATTATGCTGGCAATAGACATATATGCAAGTACTTGTATATATAGAGCATTAAGTTGCTTCACGAAAATGGATCCCATAATTAAGAAAATAGGCCAGTGTAGTGTATTTTAATCAAATGCAGAGATAAGGCCAAGCAAAATGAATTTTTTTGCTATGGTGACTGTTGAAGTTGGCAGCCAAAAAGGAAATCCATGAAGCCGAGTAGAGACGCCTGCTATTTTTTAAAGAATAATTTCTCAACCAAAATGCAACCTAAAGAGGGCAAAAGCAGGCCACCCACCCTATTGGCCTATTCAATCTGCAAAATTTTAGCTTGAGAAATACTTCGGAAAAGAAAAAAGAAAAAACAACTGAAGAATACCAAAACAATTATTTGCATCTCAATTAGAGCCGTTAACTCGCTTCTGAATGTCACGCCCCAAAATAAGATGAGACGTTTAACTCTGCATCGAACTAACCAACTAATATAATCATTATACTCAAATCATGCCCACATGCACCATATGATATATTTTCATTTATGAAAGCATTATCATTTTACTGAAAATGTAAACGATGCAACAAAAGACTAATTATGAAATTCTTTGGACCAATTTAGACGATTTTTGCTGTAGTCTTACCCTTTGTCTAAAATAGTTGTGCTGAGAAATACGCTTTGATGATTCATGATTGAACAAGTACTGAGCTTGATATCTATCAGCAATCTTTATTTACTTTTTGAACTGAGAATTGTTTAAAGGAGAATTCTGGAAAAGATAAAGGAAGTCTATAAGAAAATTTCAAAATAAAAAGAACTATAGGCAATAATCACAAGAATTTGTAAATTTCAACGTGAAGGTACAACATCTTATAAGTGTGAGTGTGGTGCGAATAAAAGTATAAAATTTTATGATCATAAACTCAAGTGGCTTGGGAATTAGTAACAAGTTCGAGTAAGTATAAAATTTTAGAAGCATATCAGACGAGTATGTTTTGCTTATTCACATTCTGAATCTCTAATCAAGATCTTGATAAATAATCATAAAAGCTTTAGATTAAATTGAGAAGTGTTTGAAAAGTATTACAAGTCAGCCCTCTCTATAGCAACATCCTTATATAACAGCACTTTACTATAAAAGTCAAGTTTTTTCGGAACCAAATATCATATTTTGTTATAATATACTTCATCCGTTCACTTTTACTTGTCACATTTTGACTTTTTATGTCCCTTAAAAAATAATAAATGAAGTGCATTATTTATCATAATACCTATATTAATTTATGCATATTTTTAATGATTTTGAGAAAATAATTTGAAATGAGTAATTAATGTTGTGGGTATAACATGAAAAAGGAAATTGTCTTCTCTTGATATGCTAAAAGTTACAAGTAAAAGTGAAAATCTATTTTTAGAATACTGGATAAATAAAAGTGATCGGAGGGAGTATGTTCTCTATAACAGCATTTCGCCATAACATCCAAATATCTAGAACAAACGAGGTTGTTATAGAAAGGTCTGATTGTAGTAGATAACAAATAATCTTTTGGACATACCTAGGGGTGTTCATAAAAATCCGAAAACCCGAACCAAACCGACCAAAAAAATCGATACTTTTTGTTTTGGTTTTGAAATTTAAAGACCGATCAAATTTGGTTTGGTTTTAATAAAAAAAAACCGAACCAAACCGAATATAGGAGTAGCTGTTTTAAATTTATTATTACACCTATATATATGTATACTTTTATACAAAGTTCAAATTTTTTATAGTAAATGTTAATCATTTGCACTTTTAGTATAATTCTTTACCTTTACATTCTAGTTTGATTGGTAGTTTTCTTTTGTTAAGTGTAAGAATCTATTTCATGTTAAAAATAATATATTTTTAATTGAGTCCTTAAATTATTCATCACTATTTGATTCAATTATCATCAATATATCTTGGTAAATAATAGATTTCTCAAAGGGTAATTGATTTGATAATGTTACGTTGAAAATGTGGTCGCCGAAATATGTGTTTGGTAGTGTATGTCTTATATTTAAGAAAAAACTACAAATAACTTAAATAACCGAAAAACCGACATAAACCGAATCAAGAAAAAACCGACTTAATTGGTTTGGTTTGGTTGTAATATTTAAAAAATCGACTTACTTAATTTGGTTTCTTTTTAGGAAAAAAACTTATCCAAATCGAACCATGAACATCCCTAGACATAACTTTAAACACAAAAGAGGGGGGAAAACAACAAATCTTTAAACCAAATTCTATTTGTGCAAATATTAATATACAATCAAATTTCTTTATAACATCCTCGTTTGTTCCAGATATTTTTGGATATTATAGCTAATTGTTGTTATAGAGAACATATATTATAACAAAACATGACATTTGGTTCCGAAAAAATTTGATTTTTATAGTAAAGTGCTATTATACATGGATGTTATTATAGAAAGGTCTTACTATAGTCTCGGTCACGAATAATGTTTTTCAATTTCAACTTCAAATACTATTTTTTTTAAACTTATTATTCAAATGGCCTAAGCATTCCATATGAGTCCTATATTAATAATCAGAGTACAAAGAAATAACATTGTGAAATATTTTTCCTGAAATTATGCTGATACCTTATTTCATTTTTTTGTTGTTTACCAAAATTTAATACTCCATTTGAACAAAAGAATTGTAAAATTAGTGGTCGAAATATCACAATTAAAATTAAAATATTAGGACGGAGAAATTTTTTTTTACAAATCCGAAAAGATCAGAATCTTCAATCGTGGTGACGGGTATTTACCCGATTCCCTGAATCCGATCCCATTCATTACAATACAACTATCCCCCAACCATCATTTCGCTGAAATTGATAAGAGTTTACGAGAGGATCAATCAAAATCAAAATCAAAGATCAGGAATTAGAAATACAACAGATCAACAAATAAAGAGTGTGCCGACGTATATGATAGGTAATTTTGATATACGCTGCTAATACGTTCAATTTATTTGTAGGTAATTTGTTTGCCTAAAGTTTTCTCATTCAATTATCGCAGTGCGTTTAGGTCACTTCAATTTTGTCATTTTCACGATGAGATATTTGCGACATTTGCTAGGAAACTGTTTTAATTGGATTGTAATGCAGATTTGATATGTTAGGTTAGATTGCGTAACGGTTTTGATTGTAGATGGCTAGTATGCAAAATTATGTGTTTATACTGAAGTCAGTCTAAGAGCTACTAAATGAAAAAATTATCCTAAAATTGCCCTACTGAGCAATTTATTTTGTGGGAACATGAGCGAAAAGCAGTTACCTCCCATCTGCCCAAGCCTTGGTAGGTAGAGTTACCTGGTACCTGTGCTGGTGTCGTAAGTATTGGTGGAATTAGTCTGAGGTGTGCACAAGTTGGCCCGGACCAGGGGCGAATGTATAGCCTAATTCACGGGGCACGTGAACCCATGGTCTCTTTGCCAAACTAGGTATTTTATGTACATATTTTCTAAAATTGATCTAATATCATCTGCTGGCACCCATGCTCCAAAGAGGCTAAATGGTGCAATTGGTTGAATGTTGAGTTATTTACCTAAAGGAGCAAGTATCAATTTCCATTTAATACTTTCTTTTTTCTCCTTCTTTTAGTGGTGCACCCATGTTATAAAAATCCTAGATCCGCCTCTGGCCCGGACACCTCATTAACAAAAAAGAATGAAATGCACTTGAATAGAGCTGAATGGATACATTGGATGATTCACAGTCGACTCCAGCTGATTGAGACAGTTGATTCATTGAGCTGTCTTAGAGAAAAGTTCAAGCTTAAGGCATTGTCGGAAGAATCTTTTCTTTGAAGAACCTCTAAGAGCTTCAACATTGGATGGACCAAGGGGACCCTCGAAATTGTTTATTGAAATTGGCTACTTGAAATTTGGGAATAATGCATTGAAGTTGATGTTTATTAGGTAAAGTAGTAAACTTTTGCATTGACCAGGCACAATGCATAAGTCAATATCCTCTGTGGGCCTGTGTTATATACAGCAGGAATGAGATGGTACCACTAGAAACTGGTTAAGACTACAGAATGACTAAACCTAAAGATATCTGTAGTCCTAAATTGATTGAAAAACATGTTCTGCCTGCATTATCTTCAGGATTGAATGGCTCTTGTAATTGATGCAATTTTCTGCTATCTTTTCCTCAGTGGATCAAGTTTTCTATTCATGATGTGAAGCTCTACAACTTGAGCACCTGGATTCATTTATTGTACAGCTGCTACTTTTTGCTTCGATTCATTCTTGCACTGAAGAAATTGAATATTTAATAGCGATGTAATAAATCATACATCCTTAATTTTGAATGCTGCACTGGGTGCAAAACGTATGATTTGCGGAGCATTATGCTTATAGTCAAAATTAGATCTCAGGACTATTATTAAACAAGGTAAAAACTTTGGAACTAAAAACTTATTTAATAAAGATACTATGTCTCTCTCACTCACACACACTTAACTAGGGTGAAGCTGAAACAATTAGGAACTTTATGTCCAATAAATCTTGGTCCGAGGTTTGGAATTAGCAGCCAAAAGCATGGACAATTTGTAGTTTCTCTGACTTCAAAATCTGCAAGCTGATTTCTTACCTTTTTTGTGGTTGCTTCTAGTTGTGTGCTTGTTTAAGGAAAATGGTGAAGTTGACTATGATTGCTCGTGTAACTGATGGCCTTCCTCTAGCTGAGGGGCTGGATGATAGCCGCGATGTTCCAGATGCAGATTTCTACAAACAGCAAGCCAAGTCCTTATTCAAGAACCTCTCTATGGGCCAGATTGAGGCATCAAGGATGTCCGTCGAAACCGGACCTTATATTTTCCAGTATCCTTTTATTGTTTCCATATAATACTTCTTTCTATTTTCATCGTAGTATTTACATCTCTTCCTAGAGGCTAAATGGAAATTTTTGTAAGTAATTAGTAATAACTTCTTTGTTCAAAAAGATGACTGCAAGGTAAGTAATTCCATACACTTATTGATCTTTTCCAAATAGCTTCACTGGGTTACCTATGCTCAGATTATGATTCCTCTCCATTTTTCTCTCAAGGAAAGAGAGAATTCTGCTAACTTATAACGAGTCATCGTTGCAATTAAATGTGGATACCAGTCTACGGAGGCTTTCAATTTGAAGACAATTTAAGATGCCTATTAGTTTTAATTTTGTAATTTAAGGAGAACTCTATGAGGGCCTCTGCAGTTCTTATTGTTGCAATTTTTGGGGACAAGTAGAATCAGTGTACTCAGAACTAATGAGTATGGGTGTTCCTCCAGCTTAATGCTTTTGATAAGTGAAATATCTTCTTGGATGAAATGTGGTGATAAATATGGATGATGTAATTAATCCAAAAGAACAAAAAGAAAGCTTGATATTAGTTTATGCATATCCATTACTTTGATAGTAGCTTCTCCACTTGATATGCATTTAATATGTCTTATAAGCATTTTATTTCTCATTTTTTCTGGTTTTATGGGGAGCACCAAGGACAAGGTAGGCATAGTCTAGTGAAAACACGCTCCAACTTTAATCATGAGCTTGGAGGTTCGAGTCATTATGGGAGCACAGTGGGAACCGCTACTTGTCTCCTGCAGAATTTGGGGGTTGGGGAGTTATAATACCCATATGAAAATAACAAAATGAGTTATAAATTGGACCAAGTTTATCATTAAAATTATGACTATCTGAATATGAAATCTTGGGGATGATTTGGCATGTTACAATTGTTAATGTGAAACTGTGACTTTCGAAGTGCCCACTCTCGCTACTGCTAATTCATTTGCTCGCTTTCTAAATTGGTACTAGCTTGTTATTTCTGCATCCTTCCAACCCACTTAAAACATAACTTATGGGAATTGTGAATCTACTGTTGTCTTAACCCAAGCTCTCAGTTATATCATTGAAGGGCACGTTTGTTATCTGACTATGTGTGATCGCTCTTATCCAAAGAAACTTGCCTTTCAGTACCTGGAAGACCTTAAGAATGAGTTTGAGCGTGTCAATAGGAGTCAAATTGAAACTGCTGCTAGACCTTATGCCTTTATCAAATTTGGTAAGCAACTTTCCCCAACTCTCTCCTTTTCAGTTTTCCAATTTGCTGTTGTTAATACTGATTTTCTATTCTTCCAATATATAATTTTCCCTATTTTAAAAGATACATTCATACAGAAGACGAAGAAACTGTACCAGGATACCGGAACTCAGCGCAATATTTCGAAGTTGAGTGATGAACTTTATGAAGTTCATCAGATAATGACTCGAAATGTACAAGACGTTCTTGGTGTCGGTGAAAAATTGGACCGTAAGTTTCTCAGCTCAACATTTTTTTGAACTCTATATCATTAAAAAGTTTGCAAAACTTCTAGAGCTCATCCAGGCATTTCCTCATTCATCTTCTAGATATCTGCAAAGTTTCTAATTTCCAAAGGACTTTTGTGCTGTCCATTTCTTTGGCAGTTTATTTGCTGTCCTCAATTATTAGTTAATGATAGTTATTTTTGCTTAGTATCTTGTCCAAATTGTGGAATCTGCCACTAACGCTTGTGTTAGGGTAGGCTGCCTACATCACTTCCCTTGGGTGCGGCCCTTCCTCGGACCCTGCGTGAACGCGGGATGCTTCGTGCACCGGGCTGCCAAAGTTGGATATATTCTCAAAGAGGAAATTGTAGAAGTTGGAGATCTCTCTAAATTTCCTACTGCACTTGTGCTTTTTATTTGCGGGAGTGAACTAAATGAAGTGAGGACTTCATGCTCTTAATTGCAAGGTGCTTGTGGCAAGTATGGATTGGTCCTGTGAGTTCTGTCTATTTGCACTAGAACTGTTGGATCAGTCCATTTATTGTTGAAGCTGATCATTTTGTTCTTTGGGATGGTCTAAATCAAGGAGGACTAAAGAAGTGACAAAAGCATAAGATTAGGACACCTGTTCCCATCATTGGATGGGTAATTCTGTCTAATTTGCTATTGCATCTGTTTGATCAGGCCCTATTGATCATCTTTTTCTATAGGTTGTCCAAAAATACTATGAAGCACAAAAGAAGTAAAAGAAAGCTTACAGATTAGGAAACTTGTTAACAACATTATGCCTTCTTCTTATCTAAGCTTATACAAGCTGCTCCTTTTTCTTCATTATTATCTTTTTCTAGATTGATCTGAGAAATTTAATTTTAATGGAATCTGAAGTTTTGGGATTGAGGCATAGTTGATTGAGTGAATTCTGGATTTTAGAGTTGATTTAAAATTTTACATTGAATATTGACACTAAGGCTCTATGTTAGGTGCTTGTTTTCATTTGTTTTTAAAATATTGTGTTATTAACTTCACTTTTTTGTGCTTTTTGCCTTTCAAAATTTGTGTTTATCTGACCTGCTTTTGGAGGATCATGAATCTTTTTTAGATGTATTAGAGTCCTTATTAGAAGAAGAAGGACTAGGAGTGCCTACTTTTTGCTAGGGCACCCTTTTTTGTAATTATGGGTGACTTCACAATTTAGTGAAGTCTTATATCAATATACAATTATGTTACCTTTTTCAAAAAAAAATTGTGTTTACCTGACCTAAGTGTTATAACAGCTGACTTTGGTACTCTGATAAGTTTAACTGTTGATTCCTTTATATTCTCTCCTCATGAGCTCCTTGAAAGGGGTGAATATATGTTCTCTTTCATTTCTTCTATAATAAAATTCCCATGTTTAAGGAGTATGATTGGATAAAATATTTCCCCCTTTTCCTCTCAGAAACCTTGAACTTGTTTGGGTGGGTTATATTCCTGTAGGCAGCATATGATTTACTATGTGAAAGAAGTAAAATAAGCATTCTTTTGTTTGAATGCAAAGTTATAAAATGAAGTGAAAACAAATAAAATGATTGGTTTCATTAGACGTCCTGCTGACTTCTAGAATAGGAGATGAGAGTGTTCCACTATCCCCCCCCCTCCCNACACACAGACACAACGCAGTGCATGCAGGCATATAAAGATGATCTATCTATTAGATGCTGGTAGCAACTATGCTCTTGTATGCCTCTTTTTGTTGTATGACCGGGAACCATGTGGTACTTGTGAGATGAATTATGATCTTGAAGTCTTTTATGTCCTTACTAATAAAAGTAGATTTTGGCTCTAATCTCGAGACAAGCTATGCTGCTTATTGTCCGAAAATGCTGTAGCATATACCTGTGCAAGATAAAATTAAGTGTTGTGACATTTTGTTGCATTATGAAGATTCCAACCACTACTGACTCATAATTTTGATATAGATCAGCAATTATACTCTAAAACAGTTGTCCTCCTAACTTCACCCTTCTCATGCATTGGCATGTTATGCAACTTATTTACCCCAAAAAAATAAAATGTTATGCAACTTTGCTCATTGTCAGTAACTAGATTGTTTAAACATCAAATTCTGCAGAGGTCAGTCAGATGTCCAGCCGCTTGACATCAGAATCCCGCATATATGCTGATAAGGCGAGAGATTTAAATCGTCAGGTTGGTTTCATTGATTTTCAAGAAGATGCACTTGAACATGAAGTTTGCTGTTCATTCTCTAAAATTCTCTTGTGCACTCACTTNTTCATTTTCTTCATTACTCAAGGCTTTGATTCGGAAATGGGCTCCTGTTGCTGTTGTCATTGGAGTTGTTAGTCTCCTCTTCTGGGTTAAAAATAAGATCTGGTGATGCTGCCAGAAGATGTACAGCTTAGTGGAGATGTTACTTTCACATTGGACAGTGCACAACTGACATAAACACAATGGTGTTTGTTTTTCTGCGCATGGGACAAGTCCAGCAGTTTCAGTTGAAAATGTAAAACAGATGAAGTAAACCATGACGAGCCATGTGGCTGATACTTGAGAAATGATATTGATATGATTATATGAACTGCTCAGCATGTTTTTTCTTATTACTCAACCACAAACTTGCCCTCCAATAGGTTATTGTAACTCTCAAGTGACGACTAGCTATGCTGTAAATTACAGTGGAGGCCTCATAGTCTGCTATTTTGATTTGTTTCGTAGAAATGCATGATCATGATTTCTGAAGATTATAAAGAGGTTCTTTCTATCTCAATAATTGACGTCTTGAAGCAAAAGAGAATTGAATGGATTTTGGTGTTTCTGTCAGAAAGACAGAAAATTGTTGAAGCAAAGGCACAAATGATATTTAGAAGCATTATATCCACTATATGAATTGTATAGAAGCAAAGGCATAAATGATATTTGGAGTATTATATCCACTATATGAATTGTGGAAGCTAAGACATATATCCACTATTCATTCTGCGGTTTAAGTTTGAATCCTTTTTTTTCATGATTGTGGTCATTGCATGTGATGTGAGGGAGTTTTTCTGTAAACATTTTATTTGGTTGGCATGCAACAGCGGTGAAAGGTTATTCTACGAGGCTAGAGGTGTCCTCAGTTCATGTTCGTTATACATCTGTTGGCAAATGCCCCTAATCATTGCAGCATATAAGCTCCCGTTACGCGCGAGGTCTAGGGAAGGGCCGGATCACAAGAGCGTATATCTTGCATTTCTGCAATAGGTTGTTTCCATAGCTCGAATTCATGACCTTCTGATCACATGACAGTAACTTTACCAGTTACGCCCAGACTCTCCTTCAGTTTATGACAACAATAAGAAACCAAGTGTGATTCTACAAGTGGAGTTTGAGGGGTAGTGTGTACACAGATCTTACCCTTATCTTGTAAAGATAGAGAAGTTTCTGGTAGACCCTCGGCTCAAGGAAAATATAGTCACAACAGTGTTAGAAAGATTGGCACTAGTCTTTTGAGCCGAACCGAGCTCGAGTGGGTTCCAACTGAACTTACTACAGAACATATTTAAGTCTAATTTAGCCGAGATTGTTATAGTACCGAGCTGAGTAGAGCATGAGACCATAAGATTTCAATTTTTCATTTACATTTTTAATCTCTCTGCCTAATCAAATTGTGATATAAACTAAATCGAACTAAATCGGGAGTAGTAAAAAACATAAAAAAAGAAAAAAAGAAAAAAGTATTAGCGCATCTCATAGGGGATTCTTGTAAAAGTATCCCAAAATATATTTTTTCCTAGCCGGTACAAGTATATATATATATATATATATATATATATATATATATATATCCCCTAAATTATTGGAAAAGGTTTAAAAATACCTTTTATCCACTTATTGGGCTAAAAATACCCCTTCATCTACCTTTTTGGTTCACTTATGCCCTTTGACCGTTAGATCATTGCTGAATTAAAAATAATTATTATTCTTTTTGTAAAACTTTCAAAAAATATTTCCCAAAATATTTTCGTTTTTTTAAACTAATGCACCAGTAGTCCACTAATTTAGTAAAGTCTTCTTCTTTTTTTTCAATTTTTGCAAAAACCAATTCAGTTTTTACAAAAAAAAAAAAAATCAGTTTTTTAAAGCATTTTTTTTTCTAAAAACTGAAAAAAAATGTTTCTAATAAAATATTTTCGTTTTTTAAAAACTGAAAAAAATATTTTCAACAAAATATTTTCGTTTTTAAAAAATACTTTGTTTCAATTTTTTTTTCTGTTTTTACAAAAAAAAAATCAGTTTTTACAAATAAAATGCTTTAAAAAAACTGGAAAAAAATATGGTTTTGTAAAATCTGAATTGTTTTTGGTAAAAACTAAAAAACATAAATAAGAAGACTTTACTAAATTAGTGGACTATTGGTGCATTCGTTTAAAAAAATGAAAATATTTTGCAAATATTTTTTTTAAGCTTTACAAAAAGAATAATAATTATTTTTAATTTAGCATTGACCTAACGATCAAAGGGCATAAGTGAACCAAAAAAGTGAATGAAGGGGTATTTTTAGCCTAATAGGTGGATGAAGAATTTTTTTTAAACCTTTTCTTATAATTTAGGGGCATTTTGAACCTTTTCCGGTTGTTATGTGGGTTAATTCTTCTAAGTAGTACAGTCTTCAAAGGTTAGATTCTGGCCCATACCAACTTTATCGTTGCTAGAAACGGAAATTCCGAAGAACAATCCAATCAACAAGTAAATACTAATAGCCTGTTTGGCCAAAGTACTTTTTTTTTTTTTTTTTTTTTTTTTCCAAAAACTTTTTTTTTTTTTTTTTTTTTTTTTTTGCCAAAAACATTTTTTTTGAGAAGCATTTTGAGAAAAATATACTTAGAAGCAGTTTTTTAAAGCTTGGTCAAACACTAATTGGTGCAGAAGTGCTTTTCAAACTAATTAATCAAACACAAACTGTTTTTCACCAAAATTATTTTGAGAAAAACACTTCTCAAAATAAGCTTATTTTAGTGCGAAACTTGTTATAAATAGGAGTACGAATTTCGGGAAAACAATCCACTTAACAACGGTAATATTTTCGAATTCAAACTTATATTTGAATGGTAATTTCGTAATCACAGAAACCAGCCACAACGAAAGCTCTAAGCATCATCAACAACTCAAAAGATGGATTACGAACAACAACAGTACGATAATGTACTAGCAGACGGCGACAGTGAGTACGACGATTCCGATGATTCACAAGAGGACCCAACTTTTGACGTTCTTGAGGAGACAAGATCCAGTCTTTCAAAACTCTCTATCAATAAACACAAATACAAGGATATGTCTGCTAGGTAAAATATTTTGATTCTGCAAATCCATTTTTAGGGTTTTCTTACGAAAATGGCAATGATAAGTGCAGGTGTTTGATATTTGAGATACATTTGATATCGTTACGACATGTAGGCGTAATGTTTCTAAGGCTATGGACGAATGCATTGAGGGAGAGCAGGACGTGGAAAAGATGGTGCCGGAGCTTGATGAAAAAGATCAGAAAAGTTATGAAACTGTTCAGAAAATAATCAAAGGTGTTAATAACATTTGTATTATTTTTGTTTTTACTTGCTATATATGGTAGCTTATAAATATTTAGGACCATTAAGTTTTGCTGATTATTGGTAGAATAAATACACCTTTAATAACCAGCAGAGTGGTTGTCTAGTGTACAACAACAACAACATACCTAGTATATTCTCACAGTGTGAGTTCTTGGGAGGGTAATATGTACGCTGACCTTACTCCCTCCCCCAACCTTGTGGAGGTAGAGAGAGTGATTGTCTAGTGTGTATTTTCAGAAGTCCCTTTTTTATGGAAGTTAATTTCTTAAGTATATGCCTCTTTATTTAAGTATGCATTTACATGATCGTTGATAATTCATATAGTCAACCCCAACGTGTTTGGGATTGAGGTGTAGCTGTTGTTGTATCTATTAAGACACAACCCCTTGCAAAGACATGGTTATTCATGAAAAGTTTGTCTTCATTGGTATATACATAGAAAGACCATATGACCTTTTTTCTATAATGTTGCAGTTCCTTCTTTCAGAAAGAAGTAAATATTCAATCTTTAGAATGAGATAACTAGAATTTTTTCGACATTGCTAGCTCTAGGACTTACAATTTGTATGTATCGATCATCATCCCATTTTCTGCAACATTACAATGATTGTGTATCTTTATTTAGGATTTTGTTTTTTACTCTGTATGAGCTTATTGGTCTCTGCTCACTTGGTGGCAGCTGGTCAGATTGAGAAATTGAAAGTGGAGCAATGTAAGGTTTACCTTAGGAAACATGGGCTGAGATTGACGGGGAGCAAAGATGTACTAATTCAGCGCATTAAAGAGCATACTGAGTAATTTCCGTCTTTGTGTTTATTCTGGCTTTGCTTTTTTATCTCTCAAACCACTATGCCTAAAGCAAGTTCTATTGTACTTCAGTATCGTTGATGGTCATGGCGAGGAGAAGTATCCCCCGTCTAGTTTTATATTGAACTGCAAAGGTACCAATTATTCCTTATCCCTCTTTGAATAAAATGTTTAAGTGGACGCACAGTTTTATTGTAGCAAAGGTCTACTACAATCATTAGCCATACGAGATAGCCAAGGAAAGGTGTATGTATCTCTTGAAAAGTTGTTGTTATTATAACCAACATAGCTTTTACCCTGTGTTTGTGTATAGTTCAGTAACGAATTGGATTTTTGTATATTCTAATTGTCATCTATACTATCTTTATAATGCAGGGGATGCATGCACTGGGGATGTTGTTATGTTTGAACAAAATGTATATGAAATGTAAGATGCTTTTGACTCTAATAAGTTGTACTAGTATGCATCTTTTAGTCTTCGTTATGCACCTATAGACTGAAAAGCTTGTGGAAGATGTCAAGTATACTTCTCTTGAATTCCCTCTTAGACATTGTTGAGGGAGCAGTATTATATGTGCATTTACTTAGTAGGTTCATGATTGTGGTTCATCAGGTTCAGCATTGCATCCAGGAGTGCTACTGGTCCTCCCTGTGGTACAAGGATAGTTGCAGGGCGGATTGTGAAAGAGAGCTATGGTGCGAAAAAGCAGCAACATACCTTTACGGTGAGTTTAAAAAGCAATCAATTTTAGATTGAGCGCACTGGAGAAGTTATTTTTTGCAACTAAAGTTCTTTGTAGATAACAACAATTATGTGACTAACCTTTTTGGTTTTCAGTTCTTTTTATTTTTCTTTGATTATATTTACACTTTTTTGCATTGTTTCATCTTTTTTGTTTCATATTAAGATTCTTCTTACTATTGGTCAGGTTGAGGTATTGTGGAGTAAAGGGGAGAAACCGCTGCCTCCACTGCATCCTCTCCTCATTAAGGGCAGAAACCTCTATAGATTGAAAACATTGCGACAGGTTTGCTGAAGAGTACTAAGAATTTCTGTTGCTTGTGCTTATTCCTGTAGCATATGCTAATTAAGCTTATACTCGATTTGAAGAAATGGGACAATGAAGCAGAAAGGCAGAAAATTTTATCAGAAAAGCACACCAGAGGTTCTGTTGCTCGGTCTAACAGGGAAGCACGTGTCCAAGAAAAGGAAATGCGAAAGATGCGAACGGAAAATAGGTACCATGAATATTTTGGATCATTCTGAAAAGTAGATTGGTAGAATGAACTATACCAGCTTCACATGATTTGAACATTGAATCATTTTAGTGATGCCTATAAATGAAGTTTCTTTTAACTGTAACTCTGCATATCCCAGGGTAAACACGGATTACAAGGAGAAAAAAACAGAAGCTGGGAATAAAGGTAGGATGCCACATCATACCTTAAGCACAGAACACCAAAACAACAGAGTACACAGTAAAGGGAAACCAATGCATTCTCTCCCAACGAACTCAGTCAAAACGACAGATCAGCCTCAGGTAGAGGTGGACAAGGGACAAAAAGATGAAAAGGAATACAGAAATGTCATACAGGAAAATGTCTTCTCTAGAAAAAATTGGCCAGAAGAAAGGCCTCATCAGAGGCAGCCTTTGACTAATGTGAACCTGAACACTAATGGCTTCGGAAATGGCGTCAATTCCAATCCTTCAAAGAGTCCATTAAGAATGCCTTACTCCAGTACGCATATGCCAATGTGGAGAAGCTCTAACAATGGAGGTTATGTGAACAGCAATAACAGTCCATTAAGAATGCACAACTCTAATGCGCATGTTCCAATGTGGAGGGGCTATCATGATGGGGGTTACAACAACTGCAATACTAGTAGAAGTCCATTGCGAGGACATGGTCATACCTATACCAATAGTCATTCACAAAATATGAACTATAGATCTCCACAGAGAACTGAGCACTGGCAAGCAAGGAATGGTTGGTGTAACGCTGGAGCAGTGGAGCGTCCATTTCAAGGACAGCACGAGGAACAAAAGAGGCCTTGCCGCTTTTATGCTCAAGGAAGATGCTACTATGGTCATAGTTGCAGGTACTTGCATGATTCTGTAGATACTTAAACATTCAAGTGAAAGAGCAGCGAGTAAGCTTTGTGAGATCTTCACAGAGCCACTATTTTGGGTGACAAGACTTTTGTCTCAGGGATAGAACCATTCATTGTTCACAAAAAGATTGAAGAACAAATTGTTCTGATTTTGTTAAACATTTTCTTCTATTTGCGCAATGTGCAAAACGAAGTCTCAAGCTTGAATAGAAAAGGTGTGGTAAGTTGATGACCACTATGATTGTCTGAATTCTAAATTTGTCATGACATAAATTTTTATTAATTTGGAAATGAAGCTTAGTAAATTGATATAATTGAGTTGTCATTTTCTAGTACAGCTGTATAGAAATCACCAGGACTTTGCCTGCCAGATTCTGGGATAATTTTAGATGCCTTGCAGAAATATTGTTCAATCAATAATAGGAGATATGGTAAGTTGACGAGTATAAGAGTACTAAATTCGTCGATAAATTGATACAATTGAGTAACATAAATTGATACAATTGAGTTATTTCTTGGACAACCATACAGAAATCAACCAACATTAGCACCAGAAGTTTTGCCCTCCAGATTCTGGGATCAGCTTAGATGCTTTAAGAATTGTTGTTCTGTTCTTAACTTTTACTAGCGAGGTTTGCACCTAATAAAAGTTTTGTGATTCAAAGGTCTTAGATCCATCACGAGGTGGTTGAAATCAGTATCCACTTAGGACAGGTTTTGGTTTGTAGGATTCAACGGGAGAAATTGACAAGATTTAGGGTGTGTTTGGTATAACGGAAAATGTTTTCCGTGAAAATGTTTTCTCGGAAAACAAGTACTAATTTTATTCTTTTTCCGGTGTTTGGTACGCAAATTAAGGAAAATGACTTCTCAAGAGTATTGATAAATAATTTAGATATAATAAACATGAAGCCATAAACTTTCAAACCAACAACCTTCCGAACCCACAAATTTCATAAACTTTCAAACCGCTAAACTTTCGAAGCCGCGGAATTTCGAACCCGTAAACTTTATAATTTCTAAACACGTAAACTTCCAAACACATAAACCTCCGAACTCATAACTTTGGAACTTGTAAAATTTTGAACCTTTAAACAGATAAATAAAAAACTAAAAGTGAAAAATATTTTTTTCGGG